CCACCCCTCCAGGTGTGTCCCCACCCCTCCAGGTGTGTCCCCACTCACAGGCCACTCCCCCCACGAGCAGCAGGTGCTTCGCCCTGGTCAGGGCCAAAGCTCTTTCAGTCACCTCAGCCAACATGGCGAACGCTGTCTCCTGTGGGTCAGAACAGGGGGAGACCCCAGGTAATACCCAGAGACCCACAAACCTCCCCAGGTACTACCTGGTTACCCCCCCCCCCAAACCCACCTGGGTACCCTCAGGTACCTCCCACGACACCTTTTATCCCCCCCCAGACCCAAATGAATCCCCTTCACCTGCAGGGAGAAGCAAAGGTCCTCAGGTGTGGCCGCCCCCGACTCCAACAACTTGGGGGTCACAGCCTGGGCAGGAAGGGAGAGGTGTCAGCAGGAGGTCACCCCCTTATTTTTGGGGACCACCCCCCCAATGGGTTTGGTGTACCTGGAGGTGCGAGAGGAGCCCCGAGAAGGACACGTCGAGCCCCTTGACCACGTAGGGCAGTGGGATCAGCTTTTGCCCCCTGAGGGAAGGTTTTGGGGAGCTTTGAGGGGTTTGGGGGCTCTGAGAGGTTTTGGGGAGCTTTGAGGGTTCTGAGGGACATTGAAGAGAGTTTGGAAGGAATCAAAGAGTCTCAGGAGGGTTGGGTTGTAGTAAGGGGGTTTTGGGGGGTTTTTTAGGAAGTTTTAGGCCAATTTTTGGTGTGTTTTGGGTGCTGTGGGTGCGTTTGGGGGTGTCTTTCTCTCTCCTCACCTCTTTGCCAGCTGCTCCACGTTGTACCCCGGGCTGGGGGCGTTGGGGATCTGAGGGGGGACAGAAAGGGGAACGGTCAGCGCGGAGAGGCCGGAGAGAGCCGGACAGGGGCCGGAGAAGGGGCAACGGTCACCTGCAGCAGCCTGGCCAGGCGATCCAGGCAGTTCCCTACGGCCACGTCCAGAGTCTCCCCCAGGATGCGATAGCGACGACGGGAGTAGGCGATGACCTGTGGGAGGGTCAGGGGGCTTTGAGCGTCGCGACGTCGGCGTGTCACGGCCCGACGTC